AAAAAAAAGAAAAAATTAACACTAAGTAGACAATTTTGAGGGGTTGTCTGGGATACTCAGGGCATCTATAAGGTCCGCCCCTGTTTTAGCTTAGTGTTGTTCATGCTGACTTAGGTGTAAAACACCCAAGAGTGGTTCCGAAGCATCTAAGGTCGTACGTTCCCGAGTTTAAGGCTCCATGGGCATGACAATTAAAATATGGTTAATATTTAATTTATTAATTTAGTATAATTTTGTAGTTAATCAATAAATGGAATTTTAAATTATAAAATTTTAAATTAGGTTTACTTATATATTATTTTTATTAATAATATTTATTATTATATATAATCTTATATAACAACGTGATTATAAAATAGTATATTTTTAAAAAAATTAAATATAATTAATTCATCGTAAAATTATCCACTAAAATATCGTATAAATAGAGAACAAAGCGAAACAATGACGACCGCCAGCTTGTTTTACGAGAGAAAATGCGGAAGAAGCCAAGAATCATTATTATAAATAATGTGTATAGGTTGAGAGGTGGGTTTGGCCATAAATATAGAACATTCCAAAATAAATTCATCCCTACCTACGGACTACGGTATAATTACACTATTAATAATTAGAAAAATATTATCTATATCATATGTAAAGTATTTAATTGAATCAATTTATCAATTCATTGTTTTTTTAGGGGTGTTCATTCGATTAAAACGGTGGTCGACCGAATTGAACTACCCTTAACCAAATTAATCGATTTTTTTCTTTAACCGTTAATCGAACCGAACTTTTATATGAAAGTATTAATTGAACCGAATAAATTTCGGTTAATTCGGTTGATTATTAAAATTAACCCAAATTTTTTAGAATTTTCAAATTTAATATTTTTTTAATAAAAAAATAGTTTGCAATATCTAATTAATTTGATTAAAACATTATATTAAAATAAGATATTTATATCTATCAATTTAGTTCAAACAAACCAACAAATTTGAAATTCTACAAAATAAATGGTGCATGAAGGTTGTGCTAATTGCAACTCGACAGCTACTATTGCTAGGTGAAATGCTTGATTTTTCTGATGCTAAAATCAAGAAGATAGCTAGCTCCTTTGTGCAGGACTTACTGCACATGTCTTTTGAACATGAAGTGGATGATGAAGGCAAGAAAGTTGTGATCGGAGATGGCATAAACCTGGGTGGCGACCGAGATTGGGCTAATGCAGTGGCAAGGTTGGTGAGGAAGGTTCACTCTGCTGCTGATGATAATAATTTACAAGAGAAAGTTTTAAGTTCTAACTATTCTAAGACCATTAAATTGACAAACTAAAGGGTTATTACTTGAGAGATCTCAAATCAAAAACAAAAAAGGGTTATTAAATTGACAAGCCTCAAGAGCTGCATCAACTTCTTCCTCAGCCAACCTATTCACGAACTTAGAATGTCGACCTGTAAAACCCAATTCCATCATCTAAACATTGAAACCCTAATCATCATATATATTAAACATGCAAAATACTTCATATGCCATCTTCAAACCCTATTATTCTGTGCATAAAAGCATGTTAAAAACATAAGGTTGAATCTTGTCTCACCAGTAGCTTTATATACATATAAATATTCTACTTTAAAAAGTAATTTCAACATTTTGATCGACAAAGCATGCATGGCATGCACCAGAGACTAAAAAGCTGCAGCAAAAAGACATAGAAGAACCCACCTGCCATCGAAGTTGATAAAAGCAAAGCTGAAACCAAGAACAAGAGTAAAACAATCTTCAGATTATGCATGTTTAAGCAATTATTTTCTCTCATTCAAGTGGGAATAAATGAAGCAAATTGCAAGGGATATAATATTTGTATTTAGCTTCAACGTTACATAGTTAACATAGGGTTTATCAGGAAGGAAGTACAAGAGAAATGATAATAATTTACACTAGTAGTGTTGCCTCACCCATGATCCACTACACTTTTGCCCATGCTCCACTTGCCCATCTTGTGCACATACCTTACACAAATCAAGGCAGAAAAGAATTGATAATCGAGGAACACATAAAGGAAGTGGGGAGCAGCATATTATGGGGGTGAAAAATATTAAAAAATATTTAAGGGCTAATTCGGTTAATTAACCGATTTCGAACTAAATTAATCGTTAATCGAATATCCAAAAAAAACATTAACCATTAACTGACCGAACTAATTCGGTAACCGATCGAATTAACCGAACTAATTCGGTTCAGTCGGTTAGCTGAATTAGTTCGAAAATTTGAACACTCCTAGTTTTTTTTATAAAATATTTATTATCATGGTTCAATCGGATAAGTAGAAGGATTACGCAGTTTATAGACCTAATCTATTTACATACATAATTAGTGATGAATATTTTGAATGTAAAATTTTTATTTGGAGATCAACAATCAAATTTTAAGCTAAAAAGTACTTTTATTGAATCAAAATTCAAATACAATATTTTTTCCAGTAAATCAAATACAATCTTTAGATGTAGAACTTGATTGAACTCTGCTTTAGTTGTTTCTTCGAATTTATCACTAAAAATGAATACCAAATGCGAATAGATATTCCATGCAGCCTACATGTATCTTCAATTTTTCGTTTTCTAAGAGTGTTTAAAGTACTTGAATTAGAAAAAAAATCAACAAAAATCTTATTATTTTTTATTAATGAAGTTTTTATATCTCCAATTTTATTATTTTAACCACTACTTTTAATCATTTTTAAATTAACTGATACCATGTGTCAAGAAACCTAATTATCATGAGAATTTTTTTTAATTATATAAAAAAACCAAAAGTTTAATTATTATTTTTTAAAAACCGAAATCTGCAGGAAGATTAAACTTTAATATTTTATATGTGGACTGAAAAATGGGAACACTTGGTAAGTCTTATCTTAAAAGCCGCGAAAGATGAAAACTTTAAAAACTGAGATATCGACGGAGGAGGACATTGCTGTGAATTGTCGCTACTATAATTCTAACTACTTAATATTTATATATGTATTTATATCAATCAAGTAATAAACACCATTTTCACTTTCAGAACAACAATAGAATTAAGAGAATAACAATTATTTTATGCATTATAATAAAACAATATTTCGACAATTGACCTTTAAAAATTATTTAAATAAATCAAATAGTATTTATAAAATAATTTATCTACATAAATTCTTAAAAAATATTGATGGTATGGGTAAAATTTTAAAATATATAATAATATTAAGATTAAATTTTAATATTTGATTGAATTCTTATTTAAAATATTTCATCCCTAATGTTTTATTGTTTTTATCAAAACCATCTTCTCTTCTTTTTTAAGTATTTATTTAATTAGTGAATAGGGTTGCTCGCATAATCATATCGTGGTTATTATATTTTTAAATCTATTAAATATTTCATGTCGGTATCTGAAGCCGGTCGAAGAATTTTGGTATACTTACCAATTAAGGTTTATAATTTAAAAATCCGTTCACTTTAGTAAGCTAATATTTTATCGTTCTTTATAAGGAAACTTGTGAATAGAAAACCGGAAAGTCAATTATTGTTCAACAATTACGAACAAATTAAAGGGATTCTAATTACAATAAAACTGAAAGCGATTCTTAAGAAATTGGATAAAATAATCAATCCGATAAACTCTAAACTTGGTCGATTGAATTAAATGATTTAATAATGAGAAAAAAAAACCTAAACGTAAATACATATGAAATATGATAAATATTCGATGGGCTAATACCGTATGCATTTAAGTAAATTATATGATTTTTAATAAGTATAATGTTTAATTTCTCTTTTAATATTTGATGTTGTGGTTATTTTAATACTCATTTTTTAATCTTTAACAATTTAATTTTGGTCAAAGATCTAAATATTGAATTATTAAGGAAGACGGTCTTTAAGTTGAAGTTTTGATGAAGTCATTTGTAACCATAATATTGGATGTGAAGCTTTATAAAATATATTATACATCTAATAAAGATGCCGCGACTTGTTAATAAAAAAATGAGATGATTGAACATGCCCAAAGAGAAAAATATGAATTAAACAAAACGTGTTTTATAGTTCAGATTCAACCTGGACCGATTGAGTTTTCCATTTGAACGAAAGGCTGGACAAGAGCCCACTTCATTAAGGCGAACGATGTGGAATAGTCCAAATTTACCGGACCATACCCCAATTATAATAACGAAAAAGTTGTGGGGCTAATGAAAACTTTGGTTTTCCACTTGGTTAACAAATTGGATAATGCACGATGTCGTTTATGCTTAATATGAAGCATTTGTATCTGAATTTTATTTTTTAATACGATATTTTATTTTTAAATTTAAAATTTATTTTGACATTTGAATCAATAGATTTTTAATGTTGTATCGTAATTTTTTGGTTCGATTTGGATTCTTCAAAGAAATCTCGTAAAAAGGTTTTGTTTAATTTTAAACTAGTCCTATTAAACATATTTTAAACGGTTGATCATTTGTTTACAAACTTGACAAACATATTGTGTTGGATTGTTTAATAATAAACTTTAAATTTTTGTTCTAAACTAGAAACTGAATGTTGATGGCTTCGTACCGATTGATTTGGCATAAGAAATGAACATGAGATAGGAATACCAGTTTAGGTGAGATAAAGATCGGATTTAAACTTAAACAATCTTAAATAAGGTGATTTAAAAATTTAGGAGTCCAACAATCATTGATGATGATGATTAAAATATAAAATTAATGTCTATGTGGGTAAAATATTAATAAAAAAATCAAATATACGATTGAGTGACGAGAGCAAAAACAATTTAAAAGTTGGATGATATAATTAATTTTTTTTAAAGTTTAGTGATCAAAATTGGTAAGATAAGAAAATTTAGTGGTAAATTTATGTAAATTACCTGTTTTGAATTAACCCGATATCCGACCCATATAGGAAAAACGGATAAATCCAACTTCTTTCCCCACCAAACTTCGTTTACGACGAGATTTACCAAAGAAACCCTCGATTCTTCGAAGCTCTCTTTAAAAAATATATATAATTTACTTCAGAAACCCAAATCTCCGGTTCGCCAGTTTTCTTCAAAGAAACTCACTTTGTGTTTTCTTACTAACAATAATAATTATTTGTTGTTTAAATTTTGGGACATAATGTAGTCTGCCATGAAAGTTTCATCTCCAATAATATTTCCCATAAATTCAACACCAAAATTGAAAAAACTTAACAAAATTTCTTATGGTTTGGGATCCAATGAATACAACTCGATCTCTAAAATCTGCACTGTTTCATCTTCTTCTTCTTCTTCTTCTCATGAGGTTAGTTTTGCTACATTTCTTTTCTTTTACCCTTTTATTTCATAATATTTATGTATATTCATATTAAATGTGATATGTTCACTTAATTTTCTTAATCGAGAAATTTTACAATGAAAAGGGAACCCTTCTCTGTTAATTTTAATTTCAGCCATTTTTTTCTGTTAAAAAACCAGTATTTTTTTGCTATTTTAATTACAGTGAATATATCATTGTCAGGACAGGACTGCTACTATTATATGTGAATTCATTTACTAAGTTTTTTTCCCCTTGTCTGGTTCGTTTTTATTTGAGCTAGTTATACTCGTAAAGTGTTGAACTTTAAATTTCTCCTTTTTTATGCATTAAGAATTTAAGAAGTATAATGGTTCTCTTATTTACTCTTCATTAATCTTTAGGAACACTTTTACTATGGCAATTGTAGTGTACCTGAGCGACCAGCCAGTGAAAATTTTTATAAACTTATGAACGGTTTGGAGCTCTCATTTGATACTTGTTTTCTATTTCCGGAGTAAAACCTATGTTGCTTTGAATCTTTCAATTTTTCTTGACATACCCACGTCTGATACCGCGTTGGATGAATATTCGGAAAAAGGTACTCTGGTTATGTGGCACTTTCAAGGGTTTCTTTTATATACATGGTAAATGTTGGCATATTCGAACTTAGGTACCTTGGGAGATATGACCCTTTCAAAGGTTTTTCAAAATACATGAACTTTGAAAATTTAAACAAAACCGTTTCAGACTTGTATCAATATATGACACTCACACTCTAGTTTGAGTTACAAGGTTAAAAACAAAGGTACACTTTGCATACAGAAGCAAACAATATGCTTAAACGGTTAACTGGTTAAGAAATCCAATAGAAAAGTTATTTTTCTTTACTTTTGTATAGAACTATGTTAGAAATGATGTTACCTTTTAGTATTTGTTAATTTTAATCAACTTTTGAAATTTATTTGGACTGCTTTCCTTTTATTTCTAGAAGCTTTTACGAAGAATAAAACGTGAATAGTAGCAAAATGCAAGTAGCAATCACACTCACACCTATCAAACAAACCCTCGATTGTTTGGAAAGCCTTGTTGATTTTGTTTTTATCACGGTGGCTCGATTAGGTTTATTGAAAATCATTATCAGATTGCTTTCTTGTAATTGCTTTGATATCGGTACTGTTAAGATAATTTTTCTGTCAGGTTGTCGGACTAATTATGATTATTATACACCTTCAAAATAGGTTTGCTACGGTGTGTGTTATTTGAAAAGGTGAATTTGATGTTACAGGCTGAGTCAAGGGCAGTGGGAGATGCACACAGACGACGGAGCAGTCTTGAATCTTTATTTTGTTATGATAAACCTATTCCCGAGGAAAGAATCGAAGAACCAGTTGGGGTACATCTGGCTGAAAAAATAGTTGGAGATAATCCCTGTTGCATTGATTGTCAGGCCAAAGGTGTTGTCCTTTGTTCCACTTGCTCTGGTTGCGGATTATATGTGGACTCGATATTAGAAAGCCAGGGTATCATTGTCAAAGTTCGCTGCCTAGGTAAAGTTAATGCTTATTTTTATGTTCCTAAAAGTATTTTTATGCTGTCAATTTCCTACACCTGTTATGTATGATATAGACCCGATTCTGCATGGCAAACAGATGGAGGTCTAAATACGACCCTTATAACCTGTTTATGATGTGAAGAATCCTTTATGAAGTGATTAGTTTAGGGGTTTCCATAGCTTGCTCTCGTGCAATGCAAATATCATGATTTTTAGTGCCTCTTGCTGAAATGCATTAGGGTTTTACATTATCAAATCGAACAGAGTGACATATTATAGTCGATGCATATGAATTGGCTAGACTACTCTACCTATCAACACTGTGATTGTGATTCATGTTCTGTATTTTTGTCCAACCACGAAAGACATTTGTAGAATACAATTAATTGTCAAAAACTTCGTTTGTCATTGCTATCGCGTTGAAGGACACTCCAGTATTCTAAACTCTTAACATCACGAGTCCTAAGATTTTTATTTTTGCAACAACTGATTCGACGGCTTGGGAATAAGGCAAGAGATTGATGATTTTGGATTTGAACCCCAAAAATATGTTAGAAGTCATCTCTTAAAGATAGCTACTTGAATTAATTGGACAAAGCTCGGGGTTATATTTTTTAAAACGAAGGAGATTAAAGTCCGGAAATATGGGAAGGGATCACACACGTTGGATACAAACTCCACATTTAGTAGACATGACTTCGAAAAGGTGACAGCATGGTTCAACTGGACTAAGGTTCGGGTCCCATGTGATTTTTTTCTCTCAAAGATCACACAGTTTGGGAGTTTGGGAAGGGATTGAATACATGGAATTGAATCCTAGATTTTTGGATTAAGCTTTGGATTTCAGGTGTCCGATTTTGCTCTTAGTATGGTTTTGCTGTTATGTTTATATGCGGCTGATATGTTGTAATAAAGTATGGATTTTGTTGCTGTTCAGGTTGTGGAGGAACCGGCAATGTTATGTGCTCGGAGTGCGGTGGCCGAGGTCATCTAGGACCGAAATAATTTGACGTCGGCCTCTTTACCTCAGTAAATTTGTTTTGGCCTTTATATGTAGCATTTACACATTGGAATTTCATTTCTTCTAGTCATGTAGTTCATGATAAAAGAAAATTAATGATTTAGTTTGATTCGTGTCATTTTCTAATGATGTATGCTTTCGTTTCAAAATCTGTCGGTTACATTTACATGTCGGTTCACAATCGTTTATAAATATATTTATACCTTTATATTGAACTTACGTATATTATATAATGAAGATAATTGAAATGATCAAAGTAACAACCGTAATATCATATTTTAATTATTTTGAAAGAAAATGATTGACAAAGAGTCTACATGATTTGATTGGAAAGCGACGGTAGTCGCCAAACGAAGTTGATAGGAAGTGATGGCATGTCACCTCGGAACCTAGGGTGCCGGATGCAGTAAAATCCCAGCCCCAACACAAACAACTTGAATGGTACAAGGTAGAAAAACAATGAAGCAAATAGGCAAAACACCACAAAAATGCCACTAGCTCTTGGATCCCTCCAACTAAACAAGGACTCTAAACGCTCCCCTTGGACTGCGACATCACCCATCAGTGTTTGAGCTCGGACAGCGACTGCTCCTAAACGATCATATCGTATTCGTACGGAATCCGGTGATCTTGTGGTTGGAAATTCATCAAATTCTTCATCGAGCTCATCAAGACTTACACCATACACACGAGAGTTTCAAGTCCACATTGTATTGGATCTGTCGACGATAATCAGATCTTAACTTTAAGATTAAAAAGGCGTACAAGAACACGGTGGGGAGCATTAGATGCGGACATATCACCATGGCTATGAGCAACCCGTGAACCAAAATCGTAATAGTAGGGCGGGTCCATGTGCGAATCTCGTCTATCCAACGTGCCAAGCACCTCACAACCCTGAACCAATTTGCCTTGCTCCTCCTCATGCTCCACACGTGTGTATCATTGTCTAATATGAATTGAACTACTTTTCCGAAAACTGCCTCGGACCTGGCTAACCTAGTCGTCACTATGCGCATAACCGTGTGGCCCAGTGTTTCCTGTTGGACCGGACCCAATCGGCTAACATGGTGCATTCTTGGTAACATTGGACTCCCATAAGCTTGCACTAGGCTTAGCCATGATGAGCAACAAAATCTAACAGCTACTTCAATCTCACCCATTTTCTTAGCCCCATTGGGTGTCAATACGGTGAGGGTATATGAATTTTAATATACCGTATTCGTATCCAATGTCGATAACCGTATACATATTTTACCAAGACATACATCTTTCTCACCCTTGTACCGTCCATTATCGAATACACCTATGGTAAGTATCGTACATGGATCGTATATGTCCCACGTATATTGCTCGTTCCATCATAGATTAAACCGATCGAAAATAGCACGTGTACGGATCCACTTGGGCCCGTATTTGGCAACCACATAAGCATACGTCGTTCCACATGTACCATCCCTGGTCTTGACAGGTAACAAATTATTCGCCTCTCGGATCCCAACATCGAGCGACCCAATGGGAGGCTTAGCTAGCTGCTTAACCGTGGCTCGAACATTGCTAGTCACGTGAGCAGCTTCATCAAGCACGTGATACCCACCTTCTAAGCAGACTCTGACGTGGATTCTCCCTGCGTAAGGCTTATTTTCACCTCCATTCAAATTGAACCACCTTGATTTTACCTCCGTTTTATCATCTGTCCTCCTATCAATGCTTGACACGTGGATTTTAACCTCACCCACTACCTGCCCATTACTGGCATCTTCAACGCCGACCAACAAAAATGGCTCAAATGACTCAGCCGCCACTAATATCAAATCCTCGTTCCAAGCTGACCCAATTTGAGTCCTACTAGTTTTGAAAACTTGAGCGCCGAGCTGAGCCTTGACATAAATTTCGGGACTCCGAACCTTAGCAGCAACAACAACAATAACAAAATTATATTCTCATATGCAATGAGGTAAATGAATATATGGTAGTAGGCTGTCCTCAACACTAGGTTGAGAACAACTTTTGTGAAAGACCTTCGACAGTCAGAAAATTAAAAATAAAAATAAAATGCAATGCATGCATATATAAATAAATAGTTGAACAGTCTTCATATGTAGTCTTCATATGCGTATCTATAATGAGAAGTAATACCTATAAATAAATTATTAGGTAAAAATCTTAGTAGTCTTCATATGCATATCATAAAAATCTCTGTATATAGACAAAAATATTAGTCTTGGGTTTGGCAAACCGTTAGTATCAAATACCAAAGCTTTGTAGAGAGAGAAATCTTAGCTCGGGTCTCGAGTATCATCCCACCCGAATCCGATTGCCAAGCTTCCTGGAAGATCGTCTTCCTGAGTCCCGAACCAGACAGCAATCATCACATCATTTCCGGCTGACTTATCGGATTCAAGACTGTACCATTGAGGAGCTAACGGACTATCTGGCGGAACCCTTTTCGGCACTTCTTGCAAATCAAACGACACCGTTCCTAATCATGAAGAAGCTTCTTCTTTTTGTTCTTCGTTTTTGTCTTCTTCAATCCAAACTGAAACTTCTAAAGTGTTTGAGCTCAGTCCTTCTCTGTCGAATGCGAAAACTTGGTCCCAGTCTTTGTTGATTTGGGTTTTGGTTTTGATATTGTGAGTGGTAATGACTAGCTTTGCATGGAGGGGACAAGTCGCCAATTCTTTGTTGGCTAGTTTTGCTTTTACGAGTCTGACGTATAAAAATGGCATACGGTCTACGAGATCGTACCCGACACGGTTGTGATCACCTGAGAGTGATCGGATTTCTAGGTCGTTGATGATAAGTTCAGTGATTTTTCTTGTTTCAGCCTTGTCTTTATCTGTCTCTACCGGCGGCTCTTCTTTATTTGCCACTGATCGGTTCTCCATCTCTGCCGGCGCTGAATTTTCTATGGAGTGAAATTTGTGGCGGTCTCTTGTGGTTGTTGGTTACTTGTCTCCGCTGGTTTCTCTTCTTCTTTGGGTGCTTCTTCTTTCGGCTTTTCTTCTTCTACTTTCTTTTCCTCTTCTGGCTTTTCATTTTTGGGTGGCTTCTCCTCCACTGTCTCTTCTTTCTCATCCATGGCAGTCTCTGCGGACACCGGAGCCGCTTCCTCGTCAACATAATAAACTTTAACACCAATCTCACCTTTAACCTGGGAAAAAAACACTCCTTTTCTCCAACGGATAATAAACAAGACTTTCAGCTCCGGATTTCACAAAAGACTGCAAGACAACTTGATTTTCCCAAGAAAATTGCTTCGTTTCACAGTTTTCTTATCATTGTACAGATTGATCTCCAACATCTTCGACGCCATTGATTCAATATCATGAACCAGAAACTCCAGCTTCTCATCCCAGACAGGATTCAGATCCCTGAACTTGGTCTTGGTTCTCCTTCTTTGCCCATCGAAATCAACTATGGCATAAGAACTGGCTGTTCCTTGCCCATCTTTCGGCATCAGGTTATTGGCGTTGCAGATTTCAAGTATCAGCTTCCTGGTGCCATTTTCAGCTGCCATTCTTGTTCGTTAAACACTATAAAGAGACAAGTTCCGATCTGAGTTTGAAGAGATTGAGGAAATAAAGCAATAAGAGTGAGAGTGTGAGGAGAGATCTGTTGAGTAAAAGTGGAGGAGACATGGCGGTGGTGGGTTTTTTTTTAATAAAGGAATGCATTGAAAATTGAAAGCGAGTGGAGCGTGGAGGCTATAGGGACGATAAATGAACCGTATTGAATTGTGTTCTTCATTTAATTTAGAATTAAATAAAATAATAAATAATGACTACTGAATATAAAAAAAACCCTCCAAATAACCAAATTTCGTTAATAATTTACTGACTACTCAACAACCCAACAAAAATTAGAAAATTATTTAAAAAAATTACGGAAAAAATTCATTAATATTATATTAACACTAATTATTATTTTAAAAATAAAATTTTAAATTCATGATTTATATAGTTAGGATAAAAGTGCAATGCATAGATATCTTTTCGTGCGCTCAAATTCGTACTTCCGATTACACTATTAGCACAAAAAAGTAGTAAAACCCAACTTCTTTCTCCCACTTCCTCGGTGTTTACTGCTCCAAAAATCAGAAAAAATTAGTAATTTCCTTTTCTTAAGAAAATTACTTTCCTCCTATGGCCTAAACCCTAACGCCATCCCCTTAACCGTTCCCCTGATTCCCAACTTAGTCACTCACTTCCCCCTTTGCTTCTCAACCTCCGACATCTTCGTATTTTCTTCTTAAAGTTGTTCTTCTAAGTATTATTACTAACTTGTAAATTATTACTAACTTGATTTCATATTTGAAATTTGAAAACTTCATTTCGTTACTTACAAAAGGAAGAAGAAAAAATCGAGCTATTTTTTTTAAAAACTCGTAATTACGGAGGATGGTTTTCTGTTCTAGTTGTTCCAGAAACGTTGCTGGAGAACGCTTCAATGAAGGTGTTCTGTAAGTGATTTTCTTGCTCATAAACAGTGTTTATTTTTCCGGAGAGAATTTTGATTCTTTGTTTCATTATTTATTTTATTGATTGATTTTTTGTGTAGGTGTTGTAATTTTTGCGGGAAGGTATTGGAAGAATACAATTATGCAACCGAACCTCAATTTGTTAAAGATTCAGCTGGCCAGGTAATCTTTCTTTCTTTACATGTAAAATTTAATTTTGGGACTACTTTCTGCGATAATTTAGTGGAATAGAAGTGATATAGGTTTAAGCAAGTTGATATGTATTGTTTTGTAAATTTTGTGCAAAATCCATTGTTTTTAGCTATTTGTAGTATCCTAACCATGAGATTGGCTGGCCGAATATGCAATTAAACAAAAGAAGAAATTGTTTGGCTAATCTTATTGTCGGGTGTGTTTTAATTGTTTGAAGTGTGTTGAATAGGGGAGTTCAAGTTTCATTACCCTTAGTTCCGTTTGTTGATCATTTGATATGTGCTTTCATGTTTCGACTTGCATTTCTATTGATTTCTTTTGCTAATTTCATTTTGTTCCAGAGCAAACTGTCTGGAAATTTTGTAAAGTCCGTTCAAGATATTTCAGATTCACGTAGACGTACATTGGATAAAGGTATGCTTTGTTAAGTTGCATATATGCTATGGAAGATATGTTTCCAACTTTTGATAAAGGATCACCGATCATTTCACCAAATTCACTCTTCGTTGGTGCTCTGATTTCAAAAATTTTGACATTTATTATTACGGGTTCAACTTGAATTTTAAATGCTATTTCATTTTATTTTCATGGTTTATATTGTGATAGCATTTAAGCTCTTATTGCAATCTGACTTACAAATGTTTTGTTTCTGGTTTTAATTTCATCGTGATACAGCTTTTGATAATATAAACAGTCTGAGGATTTCATTACATATTGACGATTATAGTGATGAAGTTGTTGGAATTGCGAGACGCTTTTATGAAGTATGTTTTCTTCTGCCTAAGTTTCATTTAAATGCTTGGCATTTTTTTGCCTTTTCCCCCTCAATATTTTGAGCTATTCTTATCTGCATTGTGAAGATTGGCCTTGAACGGAATTTCACTAGGGGGCGCAGATCAGAGCTAGTAGAGGCCACATGTCTTTATCTTGCTTGTCGGTGAGGAATCTGTTCCTTCTTAAATTTGTAATTTGGTTACATGGAAATACCATTGCCTGAATTTGAAAATGGTTTGTTGTCTAAACATAAAATGTGATGATTCAGCTGTTTATATGTTAGTTTAATAACACAAACATTTAGGTGTCTGCTGATTACATTTGTAAGCACTTGCAAAAAAATAAAAAAATAAATTCCACACATGCTACTTGTTATCTCAGATAGGTATTTTATGTATTTTAGTTAGTTTTTGCAAACTCCTCGATTTTCTTGTCTGAAATTTGTTACTCTGCATATTTTTTACTAAAATATAGGGTCATGTAGATGGTGGTAATTTTTTTAGTACTTCAAATCTCACATTCTCATTTGTAAAATACCAAGGGTGATTCTTTACCATCTATCCTTTTTTCTTTGTACGGGAAGTGTTTGATCTTTGTTCCTTTCAAGTCTTAGTTTTTGAATTTTTTGTGGTATTGGCTACTTCCTCTGCAAAACACAATAACTTGCAAGTTGCAACTCTTTCCTTCATCTTCTTGTATGATAAATGATATTTTCTTTGGGATAGATTTATGCCTTTAGTTTGTCATGTCCTCATGTATGCTTTTTGTTTAGAAATTGCTTTTTGGTCCTGTAATTTGTGTTATTTAGGCTAAAGAAAAGGAGGGTAATTACATAATTCATATAGGTTTTTTGTTGGCTAGGATTTCTTGTACCAAGAACGAGGTAAGACTATTTTAGGGTTCAATATTGGTCAAATGGATGTATTGGCAGCTAGGGTTTGAATGCTGAAAGGTTATTGCTGGTTTTGGAATTTTGATAGAAAAAACTTTGGACGTGACCTCTTTCAGCTGGTTATTCACAACTTAGAAAACACCAAAGGTTCATGCTGTGTTTTTGAGAGTCACATCAAATTCAAATTAGCTCCACACTGTCTTGAACATTATATCAATGCAGAGATATATAAATCATTTAGTGTATGGAAGAGTCAGAGAAAGTTGCTGTAGAGCAGGGAGGGGAAGAGAGAAGAGGGAGGTATTATGAACAATATGATCCATTGTTATTTTAAACTATAGTTTGTAAGGGGCATGCAATTGAATTTACTTTATTGTGACAAAAAATGTGTTCTATTTCATCGTTTTTGTGGTGGCTAAATGTGGCATCAAAGGTATATATTAATGCCACGCTTGAATAATTTACCCTCCTTTTTATCACTTTTTTATTCCTTGAACTGTTGAAATATCTCACTCCTTAACCATATAAGTTATGGATTGCAGGCAAAGGAGAAAGCCGTTCCTTCTTATTGATTTTTCAAATTCTATAAATGTAAACGTGTAAGGAATTTCTTCCTTTTTACCCCTTGTAAACAAAATTAATTAGCTTGATAATCCTGTGTCTGTCTTGCATGGCCAGTTTCTTTTTTGTTTTGATCAAGTTCTGTTGTTTCTTCTTCAGTTATGAGCTTGGATCTGTATATCTCCAGCTTTGCTATGTGCTGTACCTTGCTGACATGAAAGATCTTCCTAAACTAGTTGATCCTTCAATTTTTATTCATAAATTTACAAATAGTAAGTTGCTTAATCAATTTCCATTCGCTGAGATTCTTTAATTGATTGTATGTTCCTGGTGTTTATGCTTTGATCTCAGACATGCATAATAACCAACATGCTTTGCAGCTTTGATTCCAGAAGGGAATGAAGAAGTTGTTAAAACAGTACGGGACATTTTAGCTAGTATGAAACGGGACTGGATGCAGGTGTGATTTTGTTCAAAGTTATTTATTTTGATTCTTTGTATTATTATGGATAATTTTTAGAGTTAAAATCTTACTGTAACACAAATTTACAGACAGGGAGAAAACCCAGTGGTTTATGTGGTGCAGCACTGTACGTTTCTGCACTTTCACATGGTGTGAAGGTTTCTAAGTCAAAAATTGTAAGTTATTGCTGAACTTTTCTTTGTTTCTTGGCCTCTTTAATAATCATGATTCATAGGTGTTTTTCCTTTTGCTCGAAAATCTTTTAAGTTTAAACTATTTATTTTTATCATCTGGCTGACAAACTTTGCAATTTTAAATTCATGAGTATGGCTTGATTAGATGTTTTAACTTCCAGCCATGCCATGATTGTGCTAGCAAAGATGCATGCTAAATAAGGTCCTAACTTATATTACGTGGTTTTAGAATAGGTTCATGTCTGGACCTAAGCTAGAGTAGTGATAGTTTGTATTGAAAGTAGAGCAATTCTTTATTATTTTCAATATATTAAAAACATGTTACACAATCCCTATATATATAGATGCTGAAACACCTAATTTCTAGGGATATATGCAACTTACCTAGAATAGGATCAAATCTATCTAAAACAAAAAGAAATAAACAGGAAATAAATATATACGGATATGGTAACAAGCTACCAGCATCCCCTAAAATATGGAACTGAATACTGATCTGTTTAACTCTAGATTTCCTTAATTTCGGCCCTCTAACACGCAGACAGATATGCATTCAAACTAAACTCCAAATAATTCTACACTCCCCCTCAAGCTGGATGGTAATGTTAATTAACCCCAGCTTGGAACTTAGATCATCAAAAGTCTTTCTTGGTAGAACCTTAGTAAGAATGTCGGCTATTTGAAGACATGTGGGTACATATAGCATTTTGATCATCCCTTCCTCTATCTTCTCCTTTATGAAGTGTCGATCAATCTCCACATGCTTAGTTCTGTCATGATGGACAGGATTCTTGGCAATGCTGATTGGTTATCACATAACATCTTCATAGGTTCTTCACTAGAAATTCTTAATTCCTCTAGTACCCTTCTTAGCCATATTCCCTCACAAATACCATGGGCCATTGCCCGGAATTCAGCTTTTGCACTGCTCCTTGACAGCACTGATTGCTTCTTACTTCTCCATGTGACTAGATTTCCCCACACATAAGTACAATACCCTTCGGTCTTGAACTGATCCTGCCCAATCTGCATCACTGAACACCTCTATGTCTCTTCTTTGATTCTTCTCAAAAAATAATCCTTTCCCTGGTGTTAGCTTCAGATACCTTAGGATTCTATACACCGCCTCCATATGTTCTTCATTTGGATTGTTCATAAACTGACTTACCATGCTGATAGAAAAACCAATGTCTGGTCGTGTGTGAGAAAGGTAGATTAGTTTACCCACTAGCCTTTGGTATCTTCCTTTATCCACCGGTGCACAACTTTCTTTAGTGCCTAATTTTGTTGTTGAATCCATAGGTGTGTCTACTGGCTTACATCCAAGCATCCCAGTTTCTTTTAATAGATCCAGTACGTATTTTCTTTGGGAAACACAGATTCCCTTTCTTGACCTTGCAATTTCCATGCCTAGGAAGTATTTGAGCTGTCCAAGGTCCTTGATTTCAAATTCCTTAGCTAGAAGACCTTTGGTAGTATTGATTTCTTCCTCATAATCTCCTGTTAGGATAATGTCATCCACATATACAATGAGGATAGCCAGTTTTCCTGCAAATGAGTGTTTGACAAACAAGGTGTGATATGATTAACATTGAGAATAGCCATGATTCTTTATTACCTTGGTAGATCTCTCAAACCAAGCTCTTGGTGATTGCTTGAGCCCGTATAATGATCTTTTAAGTTTGCAAACTTTGTTGTCAGTTTTCGGTGTCTCAAATCCTGGAGGGATTTCCATGTAAACTTCCTCAGCTAAGTCCTCATTTAGAAAGGCATTCTTGACATCTAGTTGGTGAAGGGGCCAATCAAGATTTGCAGCTAGTGATAGGAGAACCCGAACTGTGTTTAACTTGGCTACTGGGGCAAATGTTTCCTCATAGTCGATTCCATACGATTGAGTGAATCCTTTTGCAACTAGTCGTGCCTTGAAACGATTAACACTTCCATCTTCATTGTACTTGATTGAGAATATCCATTTGCATCCTACTGGCCTTTTTCCCGATGGTAATTCTGATATTTCCCAGGTGCCTTTCTTTTCCAGTGCATTTATTTCTTCATGCACAACAGCTTTCCACTCAGGAGATCCAAGAGCTTCTTGTATGTTATTTGGGACCTGAGTGTTGTCGAGGTTGGCAACAAACGACTTGAATTTTGGTGACAGGCCTTCATATGATATAAAGGTGTATATAGGATGTTTTGTGCAAGTTCTAACTGTAACATCCTCCATGCCGGGTTAGTGATTAATTTGTAAAGTTTCAGCATTTGGTGATTTAAGTAAAATGATGGAAGAGTTCAATGACCTATTTGAGTTATTTGGTGTAGGATTGAATTATAAAGAAGGAAAATTAAGAGGGCAAAAGAGTATTTTAGTAAGAGTAATAATTAAATATTCCTTGAGATGATTTTATAAATCACGTGGAAAGCATTTGAGATAAACAAGGTTCCAGACATTTCTCTTCTTCTTCTTCTTCTCCAACCGTGAAGCTTGCAAGCAAAGATGAGTTGTCTTCTTTTGGATTAATTCTTATGAGTTAAGCATGGGTTTGGTTAATGAAGATTTAGGAAATATGATGGAGAGAAACAAGGTCCTAGAAACTCAAAGAATTGTAAGTTAAGGGAGATTAAAGGTTGGGAGCCATTGAATGAAATCTTAGATTAAAGGTCATAATAAGAATTAGAAGCTGGATTTGACTTGTCATCAAGCTAATTAAGAAGTATGAGGTGATAGAATTAAAATTAGAACAAGTTGGGATTTGAGTAAGATTCTTAAATTCTATATAGAGGATTATTTTTTTTTAGTTTTAGAGGTATTGAATGGATAATAATTAGTTTAAGTAAGTGTATGAAAGTTAAAAGTATTAAAGGGAGTGAAATATGAATGTTTGAGCTGAAATGAGATGATTTTCGAGCTCAAAATAGGATTTCTAGGCTAGGGGAATCGGTACCCATTCAAGGGGAATCGATACCCCCTCAACGAATATGAATTTCCAAAATGCTAGAGGGGAATCGATACCCCCAGGGGGAACCGATTCCCCCACAATGAAAAAAAGAAAGAAGAAAGAAGAGAGACTAAACTATTAATCCCTTAAATTGGTAGGCAATTAGAGGTTAATTTCAAGACTTAGGCATCTGATAATCATCTTGAAAATTTTGCTTATGTAGATATTGAGCCTAATCGAGTTCCGGAACCATCGACAAGTAGGATCAATCGAGGGAAAAACAAAGAAATCTAGGTGAGTGCGTATGCATAGCTTGAATATATATTTTATTCAGTTCTAGACTTGTGATAAGTCTAGATTCAATATTTTGATACATGATCGTAGTTCATATGATGATACATGACATGAATCCATACCATATGCATTATGGGACATGAATATGAAAGAAAAGTTATATGAGTTATATGATAAAGGTATGGAAATAATATGTTTACGTGATATGAATTAGATAAATTGTGAAAGCCCATGTTATGTAAATGAGAACTATAGGTATAGTTGGCATGCCAAGAGTAGAGGGTCTATGTGGTCCTTCGGGATATATATGTATTCTTTGGAACATGTGTGAAGTCTGGTGAGACACATACTTGATCCTTGGCATATGTATATGATTCTTAAGGAATGATATGTTGTCCTTCGGGATATATATGTATTCTTTGGAACATGTGTGAAGTCTGGTGAGACACATACTTGATCCTTGGTATATGTATATGATTCTTAAGGAATGATATGTGGTCCTTCGGGACATATATGTATTCTTTGGAACATGTGTGAAGTCTGGTGAGACACGTACTTGATCCTTGGCATATGTATATGATTCTTAAGGAATGATATGTGGTCCTTATGGACATTATTATATGGCACTACGGTGCAATTCTACGCGGCACTCCGGTGCAATTCTACGTGGCACTTAGGTGCAATTATATGAGCTGTGGTGACAGCATAATGCACAACCTCACAATACTCACATACCTTAGGTTCTCTGTATGGTACCATGGGCTAATGAACTTACTAAGGCAAACTTATGAATGTGAATTTGATAAGTATATGTGTAAGAAACATGATTTTGGTTATTGCATTGGTTACATATATCTTATTATTGCAACCCATCTTATTTTGGCAATTACTTTATGTTTGTTGATATTATTATTATATTATTGCCTCACTAAGTCGGTGACTTAGCGTGTGAGTGTTTCACACGTAGGATCCGATAAAGTAGACGATCGAGGTTAAGCAGCTGGACAACATTACTCCTGCAACTATCAGATCAAAAGCAACTTAATCAGTAGGTCATTTTGTTATGAAAATGGATGTTGGCATGTAATTAAAGAGTTAAGTTGTGTATGCTCTGAATATTTTGGTAAACTTATATTACCATATGTATATTATTGTATTTTTCGTAATATAAGTTCAAGTATTTTACTATTATTTGTAATGAGTTGTGTTTTAAAAGTCAATGTAATATCTCTGACTCGTATCCGGGTTGGGATACGGGTTGGGGGTGTTACACTAACCCCTTTCCTCACGGTAATAGGATAGTCACTGTCATCACCAGTTATTTCACTCTGTGAGGGCACAGGATTAGGATTACCTAAAGGATCTTCACAAGATCTTGGACTAGGATCAGATTCTTGGTTTTGCTGCAGAGGTGCTGGTGGTTCCATCTCCTTTTGGTTCTTCCTCCTCCGTGAATAGGTAATCAACTCATTATTAGTTGTTGATTTACTAGTGACCAGATTTTGGTAAGAAGATTCTAGGGAGCGATGTTGTTGAGGAGAAATAGAGTTAGAATTTGGTAATGGGTGAGATTGGTCAGGATTTGGAGAGAGCTGAACTGATTCATCAATATCCCAAATTTGATATTCCTAGGTAAAATTGGTCTCCCCCTGAATATCAGATTTGGGGTAGTAGGGCTGGTGCTCAAAAAAGGTAACATCCATGGAGTGGTAGTACTTTTTAGTGACCGGTGAGTAGCACTTATACCCCTTTTGAGTTAGAGAGTACCCAAGGAAGATACACTTAAGTGCTCTAGGATCAAGTTTATCCCTTTTATGTTGATGGACATTAACAAAGGCTGAACACCCGAAAACCTTGAAGGGAATAGTGGAGACGAGTCGTGTATTTGGGAAAAACTGAAGTAAGGTTTTACAAGGACTTTGAAAGTTGAGAATCCTAGATGGCATCCGGTTTATGAGGTATGCCGCAGTGAGAATAGCTTCACCCCAAAAATGTTTCGGTACATGAGTAGAAAACATAAGAGATCTTGCAACATCTAGAAGGTGCTGATTTTTCCTTTCAGCAATTCCATTTTGCTGAGGGGTGTTGACACATGAGCTTTGATGAATGCTGCCATGACTCAAGAGATAATCATTGAGTATGAATTTGAAGTATTCTTTGGCATTGTCATTTTTCAGAATTTGGATTTTTGCTTGGAATTGAGTTTGTATCATGGTGTTGAAGTTTTTGAAAATCTGACCTGCCTCTGATTTTTCTTTCATGAGAAAGACCCATATAAGCCGAGTGTGATCATCAATAAATGTAATGAACCAACGGGAACCAGTCACATTTTTTAGTTGAGATGGCCCCTAAACATCGCTGTGAATCATTGAAAAAGGATGGGATTCTTTGTAAGATTGGTTGGGATAAGAATTACGGACGTGTTTAGAGAATTGACAAATTTCACACTTGAACTCATTTGGATTTTTATTATGAAATAGAGAAGGAAACAACTTCTCAAGATACAAGAAATTCAGATGGCCTAATCTATAGTGCCATAACATGATTGCACTATCATTATTAGAACAACTGACAGAAAAAGAAGTAGGATTACCAGACACTAGACAATCGGACTGATAAGTTGTGCCTTGAGGAGGATTTGTAACCTCGAGAAGATAGAGTCCTGAGCACATTTTAGCACTGTCAATCGTCTTCCCCGAGTCCAAGACCTGAAATTAACACATGGTTGAACCAAATTTAGTCACACAATTCAGGTCTCGAGTAAGTTTACTAATGGACAACAAATTGCAATTCAAATTTGGCACAAGAAGGACTGATTCAAGTGTAATATTCTCTGATACTTTAATAGAACCTGTACCAACCACTTTTGAGAGTGAACCATCGGCTATTCTGACCGTTAAGTGTTTATCACATGGACTGTAAGTAGAAAATAGGTCCTCATTTCCAGTCATATGTTTTGAAGCTCCAGAATCTATAATCCATGGATTTGACGTCTCTTTTTTAACATTGAGAGCACTTAAAAAATTACCTTTTTGGGCTAAGGACCCAGTACCAACCACAGTGGAGGTTTGGGCATGCAAAGGCTGGTTGAACAGCTTCTGTAGAACCTCTAATTGTTCCTTGCTGAATTGAGTGGGTTCAAATTGAAGGTTTGTCATCCATTGAGACACAATTGCCTCGCCCCTCTTTGTCGTTGGTAGACCGGGAAGACTTCTAATCTGCAGGCTTACCATGAATTTTCCAGCAAGTGTCCCTGGTGTGACCAGGTCGGCGGCAGTGATCACACCAAGGGCGTCCTTTCTTTGGTTTGGTGTCATTGGTGTTGTAGGAGTTCCCTCTAACAGCAAGGGCCGAGCTCTCAAGACTTGTCATTGGTTCTTGAGAGCCCATCATGATTTTCTTTCGACTCTCCTCTCTCCGGACTTCAGAAAAAGCCTCCCGGATATTAAGTAGAGGTTTGGATCCCAAGATTCTTCCTTTTACTTCATCTAGATTTTTATTTAATCCAATCAGAAATTTATATATTCTCTTCCGTTCAATGATCTGTCTATACCTGATTCCATAATTTAGATAGCTCCAATTGTGTTCCTCGAACAAGTCCAGCTGTTGCCAATAGCGGTTGAGTGTATTGAAGTACTGGGTTACTGTTAAATCTCCTTGACGAAAGTCATGGAGAACACTCTCCACTTCAAACAACTCAGATGTATTCTCATTGTTGGAATACGTCTCCTTTGCAGCCTCCCAGATTTCCCTTGCTGTTCTGTAGAGTAGGAAGTTCTCTCCGATTTCATTTGTCATGGAATTGATGAGCCATGACATGACCATATTATTCTCGGAATTTAAGATTTTGAACTTCTCATCATCCTGCCTGGGCTTGGCAGTCACTCCTTTGAGATAATCATCCTTTCCTCTTCTGCATATGAACATCATAACAGAGTGGGACCATTGGAGATGATTGTTCCCATTCCGTTTGTGTCCTGTAATGGGCATGAGATTGCTATCTCCACTACTATTACTGGAGGCCATGGCTACCTAGTTGGAGGTGATTTGGGACACGGAAGCAGTTGAATCACTTCTCCCGTATTTGGTCATATGAGGGATTTAGGGTTCAGAGAATGCTCTGATACCATATTGAAAGTAGAGGAATTCTTTATTATTTTCAATATATTAAAAACAGGTTACACGTTCCCTATATATATAGATGCTGAAACACCTAATTTCTAGGGATATATGCAACTTACCTAGAATAAGATCAAATCTATCTAAAACAGAAAGAAATAAACATGAAATAAATATATACGGATATGGTAACAAGCTATCATAATCCCCTAAAATATGGAACTAAATACTTATCTGTTTAACTCTAGATTTCCTTATTTTCGGCCCTCTAACACGCAGACAGATATGCATTCAAACTAAACTCCAAATAATTCTACAGTTTGAGATGCCTCACTGCCCTGGCTAAGATCCTCTGCAACCTGCCATTGTAGTAATATGCCTAAGTCCTTGATGCTATTTTTTATTTTTTTTATTTTTATTCTTTTTCCTTAAAGAAAACTTTAGCTTGATCGTACTAAAACTTGAGGCATAAAATCGCTGAAGTTTAATATGAAAAAAGTGAAAATGCAATATTAAAAGAAATCCACAACAGCCTTAAGCCTTAACAAATAACAAATACTGCATATATTACAAAAAACGCATATTTAGCATTTTCTTTTCCAGTTTAATTGATCTTATTATTATTATTGTTGTTGTTGTTGTTACTATTGTTATTATGGACAGCTTATGTTGTTTTATTCTTAAATGAGATTTTCCATGTTCCAGTTTCTTCTTTACTTAGATTCATGCTGATTCTTGTTGTTTTCCCCTTTTCTTATTATAGTCTCTCTCTCTCAAATTATCTGGTTAATTAAGGTCTCTGTTTATCAGATAGAGGTTGTTCACATTTGTGAAGCAACATTGTCAAAGCGGTTGATTGAATTTGAGAATACTGATTCTGGTGCCTTAACGGTATGTATCTTTCTACTTGTTCATGATAATATAGACGAACTACATGGTGCCAGGAAACTGGTAATGGGATGAGATTGCAAATTAGTAGTAACTATGAAACAAACCATAATCTTCCCAGTTTTTGTTTATGATAAGTTTGGATCATTTTGTATTTTATTTTTATTTTTTCCTTTTGATGTTGACGCGACTTCCTATCTGCTTAGGGTCCTAAGTAGAGCCTGTAATCTAAATGGCTTGCTGCATCTCGTGGGAAAAGAAGCTTTGTTGTTGTAATTGTAACTTGTGTCAGTGCTATTATTATAACCCTTATGGTAGAATTTGATTAGTAAAACTTTACTGCTGATTTTATGAAAAATTAATGCTGATTTTTATCATTACTGCAAGCATTATGTTGAATTGTTGTATTCTGCATCTACTTTTCCTCCATTGCATTGCTTGAAAATACACTGCATTGGTATATATGACCAGATGGAGGAGTTTACAGAAAAGGAGAGGGATCTTCGAACTGGTTCATTAACTAAAAAACAGCCAATTACTGGGTCAAAAGAAACAAGCTTAGATGAAGTTCTATGTAGGCATACGGAGAGCAAACCTTTTGCCTATGGACTTTGTAATGATTGTTATGAAGAGGTAAGCACCCGTGTTCTTTTTGTAGGCTTTCTTATCTTCTTTTGTGCACTACGGTTTTACTGCTCGAAACTGTTTTATCATTGAAGCTGAAGTTCAGGCTGTTACTGGATGGTGCAGTTCATGAAGTTTTCAGGAGGGCTTGAAGGAGGATCAGATCCACCTGCATTCCAGCGTGCTGAGAAAGAGAGAATGGCTAAATTAGCTATTGAGGAAAATTCTACTGTAAGTTCTGTAATTATACCCCTCTAAATGTTTAAGGACAGTGTAATTGCTTCATTTATTTTTGATTGCATATTTATTTTTGATTGCGGGATTATGCAAAAATTATTAACTTACAATGTCCCTTCTTCCCTTCCTCATGTGCAAACGGTCTTTAAATTTGGTGTTGCCCTTCTTTTCAGTTTAAACACTTTGCAATGAGGAGTTTATTTATGGTTATGTTGTTTAATTAGGAGAGATTAACCAGTCTTAGATTCTTGTGACTGGATGCATGGATCTTTTTAGTTTATTTAGTTATGATGTTATCTTCAACATTGTTTTAACTGTCATTCTTTTGCACAATATTTCATTGTTTTGTTTTGTTTTTTTAAATAATTCCAGAGTGTATCTAGCAGCACTTTTGCGAGTGGATATGAAAAACCTCAAATTAGTGGTAAGTTTTATTGTCACGAGTAACCATGCTTTACACTGTTTAGTAATAGGATTTTTTTGACTAAATGCCCAAGATTTTTTTATTAGAAAATGTATTGTTTCAGGGCTTTTAGAGTATGCAACTAACAAGGCAACTATTGACGATGGTGACAATAATAAATTACCTGGAGTTGATGCTAGTGATGATGAACCAGATAACTTTTCTCATATTGATGATTTTGAGGTGGGGAATAATTCTGTTTTCTTGTATTTTGACATTGCATTGTCCATATGAACTTCAACAAACAAAATACTACATGCTCAAGCTCAACTAAGTGCTAAACTAATTACACTGATTATATTTCCTAGTCTAAGTGAATATTCTTGTTAAGACATAGATAGATTCAAGTTTCTTGAGCTTTGACAAGCTTAGCTGTTTTGCTTCTTTTACTTGGATCAGTTCATCTTTTTTCCCTGCATCGATAAACCATCTAAGGTGTATACCCTTGAGTTGAATTCAACCGGACAGAAATTCAGCTTTCAATTGTTGCAATGAAACTAATGCTAAACATATGGTTCGGTTGGGTGTTTTATGTAATCAACATCACTGTTGTTATATTTTCTTCTGAGCTGCTCTGGCTCTAAGTAATGATTGATCTGTAAACTCAAGTCTCCAGAAATACAAAATCGCCAATTGAAAAGGAAAAAATGTTCAAGAACTGACCAAAATTTACCTAAATTAAGCTTATTGTTCGGGCCTGTTCTTCAGCATTTAAAGTTTTTGTTCTTCATAACTTCCTTAGGAAGTTTAGTTGGTCTGGTACAGAATCAACAAAGCTGACCTGAAATTTAGTCTTATAAATAATTCTTCACTGTATACCTGTTCTCAACAGTATTGGTCATGACTTTTCAACATGCCATGTATTTATTAATTCATGCATGCATTTAATATATAAGTGCGTGTTTATTGTTTGAGTGGCATGCATTGTGTTTTAAACTTAATTTAGAAAGTGTTGTTGATTTTATGTGTATGGAACAACACTATCTGTTAAGTTGCCTTACTTGGATGCCATTTTCTTATTACACTTGGGGATTACTCAAATATTACATTTTCAGGTTGATGGTTATCTTCACAACGAGGAGGAAAAGCATTTCAAAAAGATCATTTGGGAAGAAATGAACCAGGAATATCTTGAGGTGATCTGAAACGAGACTTTGTTGAGTGCAACTTTATTTTGGCCAACTCTAGTCTATCTCACACATTAAATTTAATATTCATGCCTTGGCACGTGCTTAAGTATGGACATTGGAAGAATCACTCGGTAAATCTTTCTGGTTACAAACTTCCGGAAGAGTATGATTTATCCTAGAAAAATACAATCTGAGTATTGAAGAAACAGACTTTTAGATGGTTTTCCTCATATTCTTATCATGTGGTTAAATTGAGCCCTGATTCCATTGAAATTGTTTGATATGACTCATTTTATATACGTTACAGGAAATTAATCATGCTGCAATCTTTTCAGGAACAAGCAGCCAAGGAAGCAGCCGCAGCAGCTGCTAACGAGGCTTTAATGGCCAAGTATGGTAAATGCCCAAAGGACCTCCAAGCTGCACAGGAGCTTGCTGAAGCCGCTGCTGAAGTAGTGGTAAAATCTAGAAAGGTGATTCTTGAATATCAAGAAAAGTATTAAAGTTATATCAAGAGAAAAGCAAGGCACCACGTTACTTCTAAAATTTTAAGAAGAAAATGCAAAACAGACTATAAATGGTACCATGCATAATAGCTTTACCACATGCACTTAATTCTTTATCTCTATTTCAGCGGACTATTGCCACTCTGGTTTGATTCAAAGGTTCTTTTTACTCCCTTCTCATTATTATTATTATTATTATTATTATTATTATTATTATTATTAAATATTCACACACATTTATATATGAGCATAGTTCTAAACTTTAGCTTGGCTACAATATGTTATTCTTATGTCCATTGATGATCGTCTTTAGATTATGGTACTTATCCTCTTAAGATATGCTTCAAGAATTCTTTCTTGTATCTTAACTTTTTATTTCTATTTTTGTTGGCTTTTGTTGTATTAACAGGAGAGGCAACAAAAGCGAGCTGCTGACGAAAAAAATGCAGGTCCTCCTCAGACTGCTGCTGAAGCAACCCGGCGAATGCTGGTCAAGAAGGTATCAGATAGGTTTTCTTTTTGTTTTGGCCTAAGGTGTACCAAGTGGCAGAATAGAGAAGCTTAGTTCTTTCTGATTATGATAAAACTGCACTCCCTTCAAAATGGGAACACTGTAGTGTTAATTAAGTCACTGGAATCTCATCTAAAGTAATTTTGAGTTAATGAAACTAAACTGATACTAATCTCTCTCCAGATGACTGTAAAGGATCTTCTTTATTCTGTAAATTTAAAATAACGGGCAACCATAAAATCAAGGGATTTACATAAGATTTTGCTGTAAAGAGCTTTATCTATCTTTGAGTTGGAAGGGTATGGTTGAACAAAATAACATGAAGTTCAGATATATATATATCTTTTGCACTGTAAAACATAATAATTTGTTAATAGATCACTTTCTTGGCACTTATAAGCCATATGCAATTCAAAAAATTTAGGATGCTTGGAATTTGTTGGTTGAAATAATGTGAAAATTGGCTTCTCATTCAATTCATTACCTAATTGAAGCGGAAACCTTGAACAAGAGATTAATCTGATTTTCCTTTTCAAGACAACCTCTTCTGTATTTACAAGTTAGTAGATGAATTTGCTATGCCCCAACAACCAGTTCCCGAGTCAAAACAAAATGATCCAAAAATAAAATGCTGGTTTTGCTGGGATCTGTTGTCATAATCATGCATTTGTTTAGGTCTTGAATTTATAAGTGCTTTATGCATGCATGTATGCATGTATACGCGTGAAACTACAAATTGAGTACTGTATGTAGATTCTAATAACCTCTTTGATTAAGTTTTGCCTCGACTGTATGATACTTAAATGGCCTCTGTGCAGAGGCTAAGCTCAAAAATAAACTATGATGCATTGGAGAAACTCTTCGATGATCCGGTACGTTTGTCTAATTTGCTTTAATGTTTCAAACTAATTGATAGACTGTGGACGCAAACAAACATATACACAGATAACTTTGTACTATCTTTTGTTTCCCTTTTTGTATGCGACACGAATTCTCTCTCATTCTAGTGGTATTATACCTATGTTATTCAGATTTGGGAGTGTTGAAAACAGGTATACCAGACATTTTCCTAGTTTTTCCTTGTATTTGAGTATCATTCCCTCATACCGATGTTTGAATGTGTCGAATATAAATACTTGGGCGTAATTGAAGAGTCGGAGTAACATTGACTACTTGATAGTGATTTTTTCCCCAAAAAACAAACTTCTTGAAGTAATATTAAGATATTATTTTTGGTATCACAGGTGACTGTAGAGAAACCCAAGAAACAAAGACTTGAATCAAAGTTTGAGGAGAAGGCTTCCAAAATTGGCAAAGAAGAAGGTGATTTGGCAGATGAATATAATGGCGATGATTATGATGGATATTGAATCATTACATACTCCGAGAGATTTGAAGCCTTTGAACAAAAGATGCTTATGGCATTAGTAAAAAGGGAGTTAAAAATGTTGTAGTAAGTAGTGTTCCCTTATCGTGTATATTGTGTTTGTAGATGCTCGATTTGTCCGGGGCCAAGTCGGAGCAAGCCCGGACCAATGGATTGGTTGGTTGTAGCTGTCTAACCATGCAACTGCTTTGATGTACTGCAATCAGAGAAAAAAGGATTTTCAGCCATGTATGATAACTGGTCAGTTATCAGCAGTTAACTAAAACAATTGAGGGAGCAGTTTGTAGAGAGTGGGGGGGTTTTAATTTTGATTTAACCACCAGAAGCATAAGAAAAAAGGGACCATCGGCAGAGATGGGAAAAAAGGAGGAGACCAACGAAAAATTTAAAAGGAAAGCATTTGAGAAGAGAGGACAGGATCAACAGGCAGAGAAAAGAGAGAGTTTTACACAGGAGAGAAAAGGGAAAGAAAAGCACGAAAAGAGTAGGGGCTTCTTCATTTTTTGTTCTTTACACAATAGAGTAACAAAAGAAAAACAGTGTAGAGGGTTCTGTTATCTGATTCGAAAAAAAACAGCGTGTAAAAGAGGTTTTTTTCCCCTCCAATTCGATGATTACTACAAACAAAAGGCTCTTTCTCTTTCAAAGCAATACCAAGCAAATCCAATACGTTTTTTTCCCTCCAATTCGATGATTACTACAAACAAAAGGCTCTTTCTCTTTCAAAGCAATACCAAGCAAATCCAATACGTGTAAGATTTTCCCTTCGTGATTACTTATAGTTGCATTTTTTATTGGTTTTAATAGATTTCACAATGAAAAATAAACAGAGAATAAAAAAACAAGATGGTAGAATCTAAACAACCCGATAGCAATAACAGAGAACCATAGAACCAACATCGAATCAAAGTACTAACTATAATAATGTTTGCTAATCACAATTTTAGAAGCTAAAGCCTTACCATAAACCTGAATTTAAGGTCTTCAGTCACCGCTCCATGCTCACTGTCTCTGCCATCACAGTTGTGTCCAGTGTTTCTTCTTCCAAAATTACCGCCATTTCCTCCGTTTCAGTATAATTAAGCTTTGTTGATAGCATGCTTAGTCTCCATCGGAAGTAGTTAAACCATTAAGAGTCGTTGGTGGCTATGGTAGTGGTTAAAAAGCATTGTAAGTGTTGGTTTAGAATCGTTGGATATGTATTTATTCGGCGATCATGGAGGTCTTGAGGGCTCGACCAAGGGTGATGAGGAGATAGAGGGCAGTAGCTAAGGATTAGGTTTAGAATAAGTTTAGGGTTGGGTTAGGTTCATTTTTAGGGTTGTTAAAATATTGGCCATGTATGAGAGGAGTCAATTTACCTAGTTGAAGAGATGGTCGCCGGAGTTGAAGTCGCCGGGGTGGAGAGACTCGAACAATAGAGAATAACAATGGTCGTTTGGCTTCGGTTAACAGTCCAATAGTGGTCGGGGTTTAGTGTAGTCACCGTTGAGCGGTGGTCGTGAGGTTGGTGAAGAAGAACGATCGGAGAAGAAAGGGATAGTGAAGAGGAAACGTGAGGAGCGGCAGAGTTCAATTTAGTTTAGCTTAGGTTTAAGTTTTACTTAGGTTTTATATTAACATTTTAGGATTAATTAGTGTTTAGCCATTGTAACTTTAGATGTAAACTATCTTTAGATCCTAAGTTTAATGTTTTTGTAATTTAGTCACCTTTAGGGCTTGATTTTTGATTTTTTTTTATGTCTTAACTTAGTTATTTTCTAGTTTTTGTTTTGGTTACTATTTTGAATTATTTAAGTTTAAGTTCCTTATATTTATATTCGTTTTATTTAAGTCTCTGTTTTGATTTTTAGTCAGTATGTTTAATTTTACGTATGTTTAAATTTAGTCATTGCTTTAATATGATGTATATATTTTTTAAAATTTATAGTTTAGTATTCCATTTTTATTTTTTGTATTTGAGTCACACTTGTACATTATATGTTAATATGCATGATTTATGATTTTTTTTAATCAAAATATATGTATGTAATTTTTTGTATGTTACATTGTATGATACTTTTAATGTTGTTTAATTAATTTTGGCATGACATCTACTTTTTGCATAATTTGCATGATAGCCTTACGCTCATAACTCGACCTATTACATAATCGGACTAAGGGTAATACCCTTTTAATTTAAAATTGTTTCGAGTGGCCTGTCTTAACTGATTAGAGGGTCGTTTTGACTATTTTAAATTAAAAGTGTATTCCGAAAGTGAAACCAAAAAAATTGATTCGTCACCTAAAATTTGAGAACGAAAGAAAAGGAAAATGTTCGTTTATTTAAATTTATCGAGAAAATGTTGTTATAATTTTTAAGATCTGGTATCGATATTTATAAATAATCGAACATTCTTCATTTTTCTAAAACGACTTGGTAATTTTTAATTTAATTATTTTGAATGCTTTTGAATGTTTTTAAATTTAAATCTTTGTTTTATGGGATCAAAAATCAAATTAAATTAGAATTTGTAAAGTACATTGTAAAGACATTAATTAATCGACTAGGTACCGTTTTAGGACGTTGTGGGGGTGCTAATCCTTCCCCGCACGTAACCGACTCTCGAACTTGGATTTTGGTAACGCATACATTAATCTGTTGTTTTAATTAAAATTAATTTTTATTTATTTAAAATAACAAAACATTTTTGGGTGCCCAATCACACCCTAATCAAAGATTGGTGGCGACTCTTTGAACAATATGTTTTTAACGTAAAGAGAATTTTAAAATTTTCGAAACGAGAGGTTTTTGAATCGCATTTGTTTTTAAATTAAAAATCAATTGAAAGAGATAAGTTAAAAATCGATGTAGTTTTCAAAATCTCGCTTCTACACGTTTAAAAATCGTTTCGACAGTGTTTAATATTTAATCTGATATTATGAAGCGTTGCGAGTGATGGTAGTATTAAAACAAGGATTAAGTAACGTAAGAATAATAAAATTAATAATAATATTGAAAACAAAGGTAAGATAAGATGATAATAGCCACACGTCTGCTTTTAGTGGCTTTCGATGAAAATCGTGTTAACATAAAATATTTTAAGAAATATTTTTATAAAAGATTAATCAATAAGTTGTTATAGATAGAATAATATAGTATTTACATAAAAAAAATCATATATTGATTAATGAATAGTGTTTAATAAATTCGAGAGAGCTTAAAACAGTTAATCAATTTCATTAAATATTTTTTTAAAAAAAATATTCGATTAAGGGTTAAAGATTTAAAATATATACTAAATTTTGTTTCAAAATATATATATTTATTTAATTAATGATAGTTTGATTTAATTATTAATAAAAACAACCATTGGAACACTTGATTATACTTTTAATCTCAAAATAGAGTGATTTAACTAAAAAAACTCAAATTTACCAATTTTTCTTATGTTCAGATTTAACAAATTTTATCCCTTACCAGTACATCACACGTCTGATTGAAAAACATAATAAATATTCCAACATAGAAATAAACTAAACATAAACGTATCAAAATCAAATAAGATATATGATAATATATAAAAAATATATATATATTATTAACGTATCAATTTATTTTCATAAATTTATAGCATCGTATTAGTGTTTTAAGGAGCATCTCCAACACCAAGGATATCAATGAAGGGCATCTTATTAATCTTCCCATTTCCACAACTTTCCCCAGAAATGGAATGGTTGCTCCAATTCGTTCCCACTGACTCAGCTGCCGATACTTCCAGTTTCGAGTCTGTTGAGTTAGCCTGTCGGTCTACTCCCATCAACCCTTGTTCGTAAACCACATCCCCAGTTCTCCTGGTCACAACATAATCAAACAATGTACCTACAACACAACACAATTTCACAAAATTTAATCTATAAATTATCCGCAATATTAATAAACACGACCGCCATATCCACATTATAAGCACAGAAGAATTCAAAAGCAAAGGATGACTACATCTTGAGGAAGCTTTAGCTGATGCATCAATGTTGCCAGAAATGGTTGGTTGATCACTGCCACCGCAAACACCATTTAGACCATTCAAATCCGAGCCTTTAGAGGCAAAAGAAGAAGGGCTTTTCATTTTGCAAATTCTTGATTTCTCTCTATATTTCCTAGCCATGATCACATGCCAATGGTTCTTCACTGCATTATCAGTTCTGCCACTGAAAAGCCTAACTAGCCATGATCACATGCCAATGGTTCTTCACTGCATTATCAGTTCTGCCACTGAAAAGCCTAACAATCATTGCCCATTTGTTACCACATAGCCTATGCGCAGCCAACAAGCTTTCCTCTTCTTCCTCGGTGAAATTTCTCTTGTTAATTCTCGGATCAAGCTGGTTAAACCATCTTAATCTGCAACTCTTCCCTACCAATCATGCAAACAAAATCCAGCCTTAGCAAACAAAAATAAAAATGGTGAAATACATAAAATGGTAATATTTCTTGTTTGACATGAAAATTTGGGTTACCTGATCTTCCTTGGAGATGTTGAGCTATCAACTTCCAATTTTGAGGACCATAATAAGTTACAAGCTCCATTAGCTTCGCATCTTCAGCTGGTCTCCAATGGCCTCTTGAACAAAGCTTAATGCGTCCATTTTTGCAACCAAAAGCAGCACCAGAGTTCTTATTGTTTTCATCATCCTCGCGATATAAGTTCAATGACAGTCCCTTTTGGTCAATACTCAGAAACCCATTTTTCCCATCAGAACCAGCTGTTCTCGTAGTTACCCTATTTTCTAATGGCTCAAAGCTCAAACATTTATTAGTTTGTTCCATTAAATGGGCTGAAATCTGAAACCCCATTTGAGACTTTGTATATCATGTCAAAACTCAGGATAAACCCTGAAAATGAAACCAAGAAAATGTTATTTCAAGAAGAAAGAAGCTAGCTAGCTAGATAGCTATCTTTCTCAGCTATTTGAAGAGAGTGTTCGGGAAGAAGGAAAGGAAAAGAAAGTAGGAGGGAGAGTTAAGAGCGTTAGTTTTTCTTGGTAAACAAATGGGTCGTTAGCTCTATGCACTTCTTATATCGGACTAAACCACAAATTACATCCTTCAACTTTGATCGTGCTTCAGTTTTCATCACTAATCCTTTTTTTAAAAAAGTTAATCCTTCAAATTTTGAATTGCTGCAATTTTTTTAAAAAATAAACGACATTATGATTGAGCATATGTTTTTAAAAAATTATGAAAAGGCTCTAAAATTTTCTGTCATTATTTTATGGAAAATCTTGATTTCAAATTCCTTTTAATTTCTTGATGATCGAACATTTTCTTCCAAGCTCCAATAGTTGATAAGTGGAGTAGGAGGAGACGAATTATATATTCTAATTCCATTCTGGTCGAACGATAGAAGATGTTTCTCTTTGAGTTTTAATAGAAGTATTATGAGTTTTTAAGGAATTTATACTAAAATGATCATGATATTTAACTAATCCTAAAAACAGATGAAATTCTATTTCTGGAACGTTAAATAATGATTTGACTAATCATGAAATAACTTTGTTCTAAGAACTTAAACTTCAAGGTTTGTTGCTAATTAATTAATTAAATTAACGAGAAACGAAAACTATATGATCATAGTTTCGTACTCCATGACGTTAGCAAAGTTGATCCATGTAATTTTGGAAGATAGCTAACTCTTGTTTCGTAGCATGCATGGACCACTACCCTAAAGAGACCAACTCACAACGTGCACAAGAACAGTCTTTATCTCGATTGTTATTTGTTGTATTTTTGCTCATCGTCGGTCAGAAGAGACAAAGCTCAACGTGGCACTTGCACCGGCCCAAAAATTAAATTATTCCTTCGATTTGTATAAGTTGAAATTCCGAATAAAATATTATAAATTTAATTAGCTCTACTTATATCATTATTCAATCATTTAAAAATAAAACACATTTTATGGATGCAACCTAATTGGTAGGAGACAATGTAACCTGATATGTCCCGAAAACAAGTGTACGTGGCATTTCCTAATCCAATATGGTCTCCATCATTAAGATGTGGGTCGTTAATATCCTCCATAGTGGGGGAGGCAATCGTGCGCAGCAAATAAATTTTAATTTGGATGTAATATGTTTAATGTCTCATCTCATCTTATATGCTATGAATGTAAACTAAAAATAGGTTTTCAAAAGAAAATTAATAATTGGGATTTTGATTTACAATTAATGTAATAATATATATATATGTATATATATATATATATATATATATAGTTTTTGGGTGAATCTCTACTGTACACAAAAAGCAATCTTTATTGTATTTTTAGAGCTGGAATGAATTTAATTGACATCGGCCGATGAGATGCTAGAAGCGATTGCATTATTTGAGTATTTAAATTTTTATATAATTAAAATATTCTATTAATAATTTAATTTTATACTTTTGACATAAAATTATACGTATTTCTCGTATAAACATCTTATTTATGTTCATATCGAATTTAAATTATTCGTGGACCTACTCTAACTATTGACATAGAGATTTAACCAATCCTAATTTCAACTACAAGTAGCCTAAAAAGACTAAAGAGGGCCCTTTATTCCCTAAATGTTTGTGAAATACATTTTTGTTGAAAGATTTGTTGGAGTTGTGGACAAAAAAAAAAAAAAAACAGGAGAGTTTAGACGTTGTTGAAAATGAACGAATGTCTAAGGGGGCATACATATCACTGTTTTTGCTTCTTTATTTGACTATGTTTTACTATATGTCCAATGACAATAACTGGCACGTTTCCTTTAATAATTGGAACTCTCTCCTCCCCCATAATAAGCACGTTGCTTTATATATATATAATACTTGTATTGTGTAAAACTCTTTCTATTTTGCACAAATTAAGGATCGTTGTATGAGTGAAAATAAATAACTGAAATTAATAGTAGGAAATGAAAATATATACACTAGAGAAAAAACACAAGAAAAAGATGTTATATAAAGATATGCTATAATAAAATAAAGGAAAAAAATAATGAATAGTAGCTATCGGTGTCCAACATCAAAACTGGTGACGTCGATGATCACAAAGATAAAAAAAGAAGAAGAGATTAACAGTGTCCAAAGAAAAGAGAGAATACTAGAATAAAGAAAAATATTAAAACATTTGTTATAAAATTTAAATCTAAATCTCTATAATCTAAAATTTAAAACATTAAACTTTAAATAAAATGCATATCATTAAAAGTAAGTATATTTATATAAATTAAAGTTCATATAATTTTATTACATGATTTTCTTTATTTAAAATGAAGTTTAGAATTTAATTCAAAGCCATTAATGAATGGGTTGGCAAAATTCCTCAATTTGGTAGCTTTGTTTCGGCCGTAAGAAATATTTAGGGAAGAAATCACTAACAGAGTAGTTAACAAGCATTTGAAATTAATGACAAGAAAACATAATATAAAATGAAAATTAAAAATATAGAAATAAATCTATGTCACGATTTAATCTATTTGTTAAACCCCAATGACAAATAGAAACCCATTCGAGTTACGAAATTGGTAAAACAACGTGTGGATACGTGTAGATGTTTGTATTAATTTTATGTAAATAAATTTTAGAGTATCAAAGTTATCAGCTAATATTTTTCTTTTTCTTTTATAAGTTCAATATTCATTATGAGCAAAAACCCTTTCTCCATTCCTTTAGATAAAGAATTGTTCAAAAAAAAAATCACCTTTATTGAATAATATTATTACTAAAGTGATTTAATCGATCTAATATAAAATGCGTTTAAATATAATTAATGCAATAAGTTTAACTTTTTTTTATTAATGCAAAAAGTTTAATTATGCTTAAAATTTTAACATATTTAATAATATAATAGATAATTTTTTTAGAGTACTATCTAAGGAATGTTGTCCTTGGAAACTAAAATATTTGTATTTTATTGAAAAAATGTCTGGATCTAAAATTACGTTCTTAATAGGCAGTTAGCTAGAACACCACAAGAAGTGTAGTGCAAAGAAACCAAAAATCCGCATCTTCCGAAGGACTCTATTATCACGTTGTTACTTTCTTTGAACTCTTTTGATTGCTTACTGAATCAAACACACAAATCTCGAATTTCAAAACAACAACTACTTCACATTGTTTCCTTTTGCCACCCGATTTCTTGTGTTTCCAAAGACAAGTCTTGGTTATGAATTCATGGCCTTGCATAAGTTGATTTGAAACCCTTTTATTCACAATGGGATTCGATTAAGACGTGATCAAGATTCTCGGGAAATCGAATACGTATTTTCTTGGATTTTTTTTCCATGGCTGAAAAGAGGGGATCTCCCATCACCAGGATATCTTTCTTTTGCTTGTTTTTAACCACCACGGTGATGTTCGTGTTAACTTCAAGAAGCCATCCGGGTGTCTTTGGTCGTAAATCTATGTCAGCCGAGAAGCTTCCCCTTGTTTTCAACAATGGCGATCCTCAAACATCTAATCAAAGCAACGTCGAATCTTCAAACGGATCGAACCGAGCAATCCTCGTAGACGACCAAACAAAAGGCGTGGAAGGAGGGTTCCAAGTGAGTTGCAATGGGAATGTGAAAGAACCATTAAAGATTTACATGTACGACTTAGACCCAGAGTTTCACTTTGGGTTATTGGATTGGAAACCACAAGGATACGAAATTTGGCCTGATATTAGAATAAGAATCCCACCATATCCAGGTGCATTGAATTCACAACACAGCATAGAATACTGGCTGACATTAGACCTTTTGGCTTCAGACTTTTCCGAGAATCCAAACACCCGAGAAGCCATTAGGGTGAAAAATTCAAGTGAAGCTGATTTGATATTCGTGCCATTCTTTTCATCGCTGAGTTACAATCGGTATTCGAAGGTGATTCCCCCTCGAAAGAAGAGCAAGAACTGGGAATTGCAAGCCAAATTGGTGAAGTTTTTGAGGAATCAAAAGGAATGGAAAGTTTCAGGTGGGAGAAATCATGTGGTTTTGGCTCACCATCCCAATAGTATGCTTCATGCCAGGATGCAACTTTGGCCTGCAATTTTCGTACTTTCCGATTTCGGAAGGTATCCGATCAACATAGCAAATGTAGAAAAAGATGTGATTGCGCCTTACAAACATTTAATCAAAAGTTATGTTAATGATTCATCAGATTTCGATAGCCGGAAAACTTTGCTGTTCTTCCAAGGTGCCATACATAGGAAAGATGTAAGTGCCCCTTCTCCGAACATTTTATCTGTTCTTTGTTAACATTATCCAAACACACAGTTGCATTTTGGTTTTTAATTAATGTATTTCTTGATTGCAGGGTGGATTTGCTAGACAAGAGTTATTTTATCTTCTAAAAAATGAGAAAGATGTACATTTCTCATTTGGGAGTGTTCAACATAATGGAATTCGCAAGGCAAGCCAAGGTATGCATTCATCCAAGTTCTGCCTAAACATTGCGGGCGACACTCCATCGTCGAACCGCCTTTTTGACTCCATTGCTAGCCATTGTGTCCCGGTCATTATCAGTGACGAGATCGAACTCCCTTACGAAGATGTTCTAGACTACTCTGAATTCTGCATATTCATCCGAGCTTCGGACTCCGTGAAAAAAGGGTTCCTCATAAACCGGATCCGAAGCATCACGAAGGATGAATGGACCCGGATGTGGGAGAAATTGAAACAAGTGGAGCCATTGTTCGAGTTTCAGTATCCATCGAAGGAAGGTGACGCGGTTCAAATGATATGGCAGTCATTGGCTCACAAGGTTGCTGGTGTGAAGATGAAAATCAACAAATCTAGAAGGTACTCTCGTTTTGTTCCTCGCCAGAGAGGACACCACTAAACTTTTGGTGAATTATAGGTGCTGCTGACTGTTAAAAAATGGGGTATATGTCTAATTCGAATTTAAGTTTGTTTTTGTATATTTTGAGAATTATATTTTTGTATCTGTTTCTAGACATACATCGATATTAATATCGAACATGAATATTTTTTTAAATAAGTATAAATAGCATACGTAGACACATAACCTTTCATTTGTGGCTTGAGATAACTTATGAGAATTGATGTCGTAAATTTTTGCTAATGAACTAAGTATTTTCAATTGAATCAATTTGATCTATTTTTGTTTTAAATGTTTTAAAAACTAATTTAATATAAAATATAATGGATAACTAATAAAAAAAATCATTTTATATAATAAAAAAATGCATTTAGTTCAATGGTTTCAACTCTAATATAAAATTAATATATTAAAAAAATTATGAATTACAATTAACGTTTTAAAATATATATACATAAAAAATTGAAGGTGTATTTAGTTAACACAGTGTAATTGCTCAAAAATATAATTAATATCTTAATTTTTATATATATTTGATTGATAGAAAGTAATTATATTATAATTTATTATATCAGGTTTGATAACATAAATTGTAGTTACACATGTATAAATAATTAAAACAATACTAAATTAAAAAATTAAAAAAATATAATTACTCGTATAATTATATTAATTTTTACCTCTCTTCTATTTATCCGGATCTATATGTTACAGTAATTATCTAAATCTATCTTAACAATATAATTATATCTAAACGTTAGTTACACGATAACTTTTCAAATACGGCAAAGAGTTGTATCTGTTTTGTACAAATGTGGAAGGAAGAGTGTACGAGGGTTAATATTGGGATAGCTCGCATAATCTTGGTAGGCCCAACTAAAGGTTTCACAAAAAATTCGAGCAAGCTCACCCCAACCTGGGCTTCAGTAAGACCATTATATATATATATATATATATATATATATATATATATATGAATTAATCAATTGCATCACATATTCTCTAACTATGAATCTCATTTTAAATTAATCTTTAAACTTTTAAACATTCTAATTATATCCTTAAATTGTGACTCTCTTTCTAAATTAGTCCTTAAACTTTTAAACATTCTAATTCTATCCTTAGACTATGCCCCTCTTTCTTAATTAGTCCTTAAACTTTTGAACATTCTAATTCCATCCCTAAACTATGACCATCTTTCTAAATTAGTCCCTAATAGTCCCTAAACTCTTGAATATCCTAATTTCATCCCTAAATTCATCCAAATATGTAATTAGTTCCAATCATAGTTTAACTTGCTTTTTTAAATCATATAATAAAATAATTTGACTTAATGATTTTATTAATAAGGGATGTGGTTAGTATATACATATTATTTGAGATGAAGTCATTATGTTAAAAAAAATTGGGAACCAACTTAGAATGTAGTTCGTAATTTAGGGATGTAATTGAATTAAAAGTTTGAGAATTAATCTAGAATGATCGTCATAGTTTAGGGGTGAAATTGGAACATTTAAATGTTTAGGGACCAATTTGAAATGAGGATCATACTTTGAGGGCATGTGATGTTAGAATAATAATTCCTAACTGGATTAAGAAAAAATAGTTAGTTATCAAATTTATAAGAATTTTCTGCATTGCCATTGGAGAAGTGTTAGGGCAGGCCTGATTTGGGCCAAAAAGCAAATGGAATGTTCAATGCAATTTCATTATCCCGCCATTAATAGCTTAAATGTTGATTTTCTTAGCCCATAGAGAGATAGAACATCAACCATGTTTCTGAGGATTGGACCTTTCCCCTTCTTTTAATTATACAACTAATATGAATACAAATAAATTTCTTAAATTTATACATATTTTTGTGTTCAACTTAATTAAAATAATGCTTCAAATTAGCCAGCAGATATTCCTATAAATTATCGTTATTGTTTGTCTTAACTTTTCCAAATTGTCTAGCATGAGATTGTTTTGTATGTTTTGGAGGACTAATGTTTCTTGTGTGATTCTTTATATTTAATGTCTTATGAACTAATATTTATAAACAAAATCAACTTTACAGTAAATTGATTTACTAGACTTAACAGTTAATTGGTCTAGTGGAATAAGGTATTAGATTTTTTAAGCAACATTAGAGGTTCAAATCCTAACATTCTAAATGGAGTAAATTGGATAGAAAGAGTCGTCCTCATAATAGGCATCTACAATACCCAACATGAATTAATTGATCAATAAATTAGATACCGACGAATATAAAAAAAACCCTAATACCATTAATCAATGAAATCAGAGTTTGAGTGATTTTTATGGGCATATTATTCATGAGGATTATAACCATATGTGGTGGCTCCTATCTCACATGCCTACCTTGCAAAGTTAGGTGGAGACTATAATAGTGCTTGAAAGCGAGCTACCAACAAATTAATTAATTTGTTTTTTTAAACAAAAAAACAAAAACAAAAAAGTACTAAGCTTTTCATTTTAGTAAAAAAGTACAAACATATCATTTACTAAAAGTAGTTGAATAAATGAATAGGTTAAAATACTTAATATAAAAATAGGTGTCTAAATTATATTTAAAGTTAATTTTAGATGTTTAAGATTTTTTTGGTTAAAAATAAGTATTTAATTTTTTTCAACATTATATTTTTAGGCGTCTAGATCGTTAATACCGTTAAATTCGGCTAAGTGGCTTACGTCAGAAAAATAAAATTTTAAATATCTTTAAATTTTTATAAGCCCAACACATGTCATTTAACAGTCGAATTTAACGACAGACACTAAAAAGTGTAACGTTGAAAACATTAGATAAATATTTTTAACAATTTTTTTGAAGTACATAAAATTAATTTCGAATATAATTAGACACTTATTTTCACATTAAACTAGTATTAAATCCAAATTTTAGTAACATCCTTTCAAAAAACAGCTTTTCGTTTGAAATAATATATATGTAAAATCGCTTAGAAACAGAGATATACTGACTTTGTCTTGTCCCTGAATCCATGCAAAAATGCACTTTTTCAGTACATATAGAATTATTGCACTTTTTCAGGGAAAGAAAATTTGCATGGAACATTTTCTATAGAGAAAACAATTAATTTCATACTTTAATTTTTATTCACTCATATAATATATAAAAAATATAATATAATTAATAAAAATAAAATTACAAAATAACTACAATGAAAGTACACCATTAATATGGGGATTTAAGTTTCTAACTGTTACTGCCATTGCTACTGTTGCATTAATATTTTACTGAAAATGATCTATTATTTTCTTTTATAATTTTAAATCCATAAAATTAATATTTTCCTTTCATTTTATTCCTTTGTTTTTTATTTAAATGATTTTTTAATACCTTAAATGAGTTAATGAAACTTAAAGACTATAAAGTTTGAAAGGGGGACCACACGACTTGTGGTTTATTTGGATAGGTGGTGGACTGGTGAGGGATCTGTGAATGTTCTCTCTGACGCGGCAGGGCAAGGTAAACCCTTCCCTCTCCGTACATCAAATTTAATTCCATTATTTTTTAAATATATATTAAATTTTAATATTTATATATTAAAAATATTTTAAAATTTGACACTGGATAAATTTATATAAATTATTTTTAAAAGATGGTATCTAATAATTTTAAATTCGGATCCTATCTATAATAATTTTATATTATAAAATTATATTCTCATCTTTTTTAAAAAAAAAGAAAAAGAAATCCTTCCTATGATAATGGCAGCAGTTAAGTTCAACTTTTCACACCGAAAAAAAGGTCAATAAATTCACAAGTTTCCCCTTATCATTTCTCTAAAACAAAACCATTTAGACTTATTCACATGCAAGACTTTCGTGATGCCAATCCCATCTTTCATTCATACGTAGATATATTCATATATAAGTATTAGATTTGTCACGTTTATGGTAGAAGAAATATATTTTTCGTAATTTAATTAAAAATTATTATGATTAGAATAACAAAAAAATTATTTACAAATTCATCAAGTACACGTGAGTGAAAAAAATGATTAACGTGTTTGGACACTATAATATAATTGCATAAAAATGTAATATAATTACTATCCTAGTAAATAATAATTACATGGGAGTGTAGCTACTATAAATTATGTTTAACGAGTATTGGTACAAGTGGTTGAGATTTAAGAAGTTGAACTTATAAGGTCAAGTTCGAATCCTACCATCGTGTCTCTTGGTAGACAATCTGTAAATCCTAATTGTGTATTAGGTATACTCTGGTTCAGAATGGAGAAACCAACCCTGACCTAAACTACTATAAATTATAATTATCTAGATATGTCTGACAAAGATAATATAATTATATCTTAATTTTTAATATCATATTTGATGTTATAAATTATAAATACACATTTATGTAAATTTGAATTCTATTATGGAAAGATAATCTTAAACCTAAAAATATTATGCAATTATTTAAGTACTCTAGAATGAAAATAATAATAAAAATAAAACTATTAATGTTGAAAAAAAGATATCTATAAATATAATGTAATAAATATTTTAAAATTCTAACATATAGTAATAATAATAAATTGTTAAGTTCCCCCTCTTCTAATACTGAATCGAACAGCAGCGGGACAATGTAGCGAGGGAGTTGAAGTGTATATAAGTAAAAATATACATACATAATGTAACATCCCAAACTAGGGGTTAGTGACTAAATTGTAAAGTTTAAGAATTTGATGAATTAAGTAGAAGAATGGAATAATTCAATGATTTATTTGGAAATAATTCCTAAAAGTTGTTAGTAATTATTAAAGTAGATGAAGGGCAAAATGGTCATTGAACAAAGATAATATTAAATATTAATAATGGGTATTATAATACATGAGATGTATGATTGAAGAGATAAGTTTTAGACTTATCTTCTTCATCTTCATCTTCTCTCAAACGTGAAGAGCCAAGCTTGCAAAGGTGAGTTTCTTTGTTAGTTGGTTATTTGCTAAATTTATGGTTGGGTTTTG